TGGAAAGAGATATACTGCAAACTAAAATCATAAGAAAGCTGGAGTGCCTATATTAATACTAGATGAATTATATAACAGGGCAAATAATATTACCAGAGAAAAAGAGCCCCATATCATCATAATGAAAAGGTTCATTTGTAAGAGGAAAAATGGCCCTAAATATTGTTTATCTAATGACACTTGTTTAAAATAGATGAAGAAAAAAAGATCTCATTTGCCATAGCATCAGAAACAACAAAATATTCAGAGATAAGTTTAACAAAATAAATGCAGTGCCTATATGCTGAAAACTATAAAACATTGCCAAGACAAATTATGGAAGACCTAAATAAGCGAAGACATATACTATGTTGGATACAGATACATTGCTAGTGGGAACCAAGATAGTAAAACTACTTTGGAAAAACCTTATTTTTTTGGAAAGTTAAACCTGTACTACCAGTCAAGCCAGAACTTCTACTCCTAGGTATTCACTCAAGAGAAATGAAAATATACATCTATAAGAAGACTTACATGGAAAAGCCCATTGCAGCTTTCATTCATAATGGTCCCAAGTGAAATAACCCAAAGGTCCATCACTAACTGAACGGATAAACAAATTGTTATGTTCATACAATGAGATACTACTCATCAGTAAAAAGGAATGAACCACGGATACGTGGAATAATATGGATGAATCTCATAATCATTCTGCCAAGTGAAAGGGGCCATACGTAAGGGGTACCTGTGCCATAATTTCATATTTAAAGAGTTGAAGTTAACCTACGGTGAAAGGATGCAGATCAGTGGTTGCCTAGAGGAGATATGGGAAAGGGAATCAGCTACAGAGAGGCAGGAGAGAATATTTTGGGGTAATGGAAAGTTCCATATTGTTTGGAGGGGGTTAGTTAGAGGTATCTATACATTTATTAAAACTCATCAGACTTAAACTTAGGTGCATTTTATTGAATCTAAATTGGCTCTCTGCAAAGTGGACTCCGAAGTAATGGGAATAATCCAATTGTTAGGAAGAAGTTGACTACTCAAGAGAAAAAAAGGATGATTAATGGTATGACGTAACTGACAATGTGTAAGTTCTATGAGAATAGGGGACTTGATTATCATGTTTAGTATGCTGTTCTGAGTGTGTGGCTTTATTAGGGTTGAATGAGTGTTTATTGAATCAATGAGAGAATTAAAGGTGAATGGGTTAAAAGTCCAAAGCACACATTAGATACTGGGCTTAGATAGTAGGAGAAACATTTTCTCTAAAGTAACAGAAGAAGGTATAGATAGGTTTGAGACTCCTGTGAAATTATTGATCTTGAATTTACAGCAATACTAATTTTCCTTGTAGCTTAACATTCTCCAAGAATGCTTGGATGACAGGGTACAAATGCAAAGAAAGAAAATTCTAGTGTTTGTCCATATTCTACAATTGATTTGATGACAAGACAGAAGGATGAAAAAAAAGTTTATTTAGGGTTTGGCAGGAGTGTTATTAAAATAATCGATCATAATCTAAGCAAGATAAGAAATAAAGTGGAAAAAGCAAATAAAGAAAAAAAAGCAAATAAAAATAATACCAAGGATTGGTGAGGAGGTAGAACAACTGGAACTCTTTATCTTTAACTAGTGAGAATGAAAATTGATAAAAGTACTTTAGAAAACTGTTCAACAGTGTCTATGAAGGGTAAACGCGTGTCTACCCTATGACTCATCAAGTCCATTCCTAGGTATATGCCCAAGGGAAATGAGGGCATATACCCATAAAAAGACGTGTGTTGGGGCGCCTGGGTGGCGCAGTCGGTTAAGCGTCCGACTTCAGCCAGGTCACGATCTCGCGGTCCGTGAGTTCGAGCCCCGCGTCGGGCTCTGGGCTGATGGCTCAGAGCCTGGAGCCTGTTTCCGGTTCTGTGTCTCCCTCTCTCTCTGCCCCTCCCCCGTTCATGCTCTGTCTCTCTCTGTCCCAAAAATAAATAAAAAACGTTGAAAAAAAAATTTAAAAAAAAAATAAAAAAATAAAAAAAAAAGACGTGTGCAAGAATATTCATTGCAGCTTTGTTCATGATAGCCTCCAGCTTAAAGACAAGAACCTAAACTGGTATATTCATAAAATGGAATAATATATAGCCATAGGAAGTATGACTTAGTAATACAAAAATGTGACTGAATCTCAGAGACATTGTGCTGAGCTAAAGAAGGCGGACATGAAAGAATACATGTTATATGAGCCTATTTATACAAAGTTGAGGAACAGGAAAAACTAATGGATGATTTTATTTTATTATTTATTTATTTACTTTTTTTACTAAAGGATGATTTTAAAAGTCATAGAATGGTTATCTTTCTGGGGGTGTTTTTGGAGGGGAAAGGAGCGTAAGGGAAATATTCAGAAGTGATAAGAATGTTCTATGTCTTAGAGAGATAGATCTGAATTTGTATTCTGTAAGATCAGGTGGAAGACGTATATATCACTACACAAAAAACAAACTTTGACAAGCTGACAATCTTAGTTACTGAGATCTATTTGCCTTACAGATGTTTATTTTGACCACTGATAATATTTGGTTTTCTTCCTATCATTTTTAGGTTTTTGGTTTTTCTTTGCTATATTTTCATGTTGTGTTTCTCTTGTTTTTTTCTTCCCTTTTTCTGAATTGAGCAACTTTCTTTTGTAACCTTGTCTTTTTGGTAAATTGGAACTTTTACTATTTTTCTGTAGCCTATTAAACACACATATTTAAACCTGTTTTTTTATATCAAGGAAAAAATAAATAATAACTAGGCAATAACCTAGTTCTCTTTACCAAAACAATCTGGTTTCCTTTACCTGAGCTTTATTGAGAAAAATCTAGAATTTTAATTCCAAATTATTTTTTCCCTTATAATGTGTTATCACTACTTCAGAAATCCTTAAGAATTACATCATGATTCACAACATCATTATCATTCAATTTTACTATATATCTCATTGTATTTATTGAGATAGTACTATTGTTTTTTATATCTTGTCTTCCCCAGTGTTGGCTGGAGCATTTACCAAGTAATTTCTTTAAGTATATAGTTAATGTACTTGTTGGGTTTGTGAGTGCCTGCTGATTTTCAAGCCTCAATCCCCAAATGCTTTCCTCCCTTAAAATTTCTCTGGGTTTCCAGGTCGCTGTGCTCTCCCGATCAGTGTTGGAGCCAGTGTCTCCGCCACTGCTGTCTGCTCTGCTAGAGGCCATCTTGTCCCATTGGTTCACGTCACTGGAAACCCACAAGTACTATAAGCTTGGTGCTTGTGGAAGACTTTCAACGAAGATTTGTCTCCCCAGAAAGAGTCTAAGAGGCTTGAGAACAAACACCATGACTTTTCTAACTCTCACAGTTTCTAGTAGAGAGTTAGACATATGCAAACAATGGCTTTAATTTGGATGTTAGATAACGCTGTCCCCAAATCCAATGGCCATTTCCCCTGCGAGTGGTATTTTTATCCCAGCTGTGCCCTTTTAGGTCACAGCTTACTGCTACCTTCTCTGTCTTCTGTACTCTTCCAGCCTCACACAATTATACCTCCTTACTCAGAGTAATCTGTCTCTCCATTCTCTGCCTGAAACTGAACCCCAATGTTTGTTATATCTCCAGACACAATAAGATGTTCATTTAGAAAGGGACCAACACAGGGGCGCCTGGGTGGCGCAGTCGGTTAAGCGTCCGACTTCAGCCAGGTCACGATCTCACGGTCCGTGAGTTCGAGCCCCGCGTCGGGCTCTGGGCTGATGGCTCAGAGCCTGGAGCCTCTTTCCGATTCTGTGTCTCCCTCTCTCTCTGCCCCTCCCCAATTCATGCTCTGTCTCTCTCTGTCCCAAAAATAAATAAACGTTGAAAAAAAAAATTAAAAAAAAAAAGAAAGGGACCAACACAAAGAGCCAGCTAAAGCTTTGAAATTCAATTTTTTTGTCTTTAACATAAGCAGAACACCCACCTTCACCAGTCTCTGGAAATGGAAGAAAAATAGCGTAACAATTTGTTTTCTCCTTGACCAAAGAAAACCCACAGGAGTCATGCATTTGTTGTTGTGTATTTTGGCTACCCATGAATTCTGAACATCTCAGAGCGGGATATAGGTCTTCCTAGAGCTCTATACTTTTTTTTTCAGTGTTTTTATTTTATTTGTGAGAGAGAGAGAGTGAGTGCGAGTGGCAGGAGGGGCAGAGAGAGAGAAGGAGACACAGAATCCAAAGCAGGCTCCAGGCTCTGAGCTGTCAGCCAAGAGCTCGATGCGAGGCTCGAACTCACTGACCATGAGATCATGACCTGAGCTGAAGTCGGACACCCAACCGACTGGGTCACCCAGGCACCCCTACTTTTTCTTCATGGCATATTACCATTTGCCCTGTTTCAGATTTTATCCAGTCTTACACTGTGTTATGTGCCGTTTTCTCTCGCTTTTTAGTGATTTCACGTATGTAATTTCTGCTTTCTCAGAAAGAGTAGTGATTAGAAGCAGGTACTAGTTCTGGAGACTGTCAGGGGATCAAATATATACAGGTACTAAAGGCTTCTTGTGTATTGACTAAGAATTATGCCAATATAGGTTATTTAATGACCTTCTATTATGTGCAGACAATGTGCTAAACGCTTTACACACATGATCTCTAATCCTCTCCTTGCTCCTTTGAGGAGATAGGTATTATTATGCTGTTTATACAGAAAGGGAAACTGTGTGAAATTCTTGCAGCTTAAGTAACTTGTTGGATTCCACATGGCTCAGTTGAAAAATTAGATCTGTCAGATTCCAAAATACTCTGCTCCTCCTGCCATCATCCCAGGAATTCCAAAGCCACCAATATTGGCAACCGTATCTCTGTCAGTGATGTTTTTTTAAATAAAAACTTTACAATGCACTTAGTGGGCAGTGACCACATCCTTTTTGTATGATTATGTTCTCTGCAAGTTTCTAGACGCCATTCCCTTTTCTGGTGTGATTTTTAAAGCTCGTATGTGAACCTGATCGTTTTCTCTCTACATTTCAGTTTGATCCACTAACGATTGAGAGCAAAAAAGCGGCAACTGTGGTGTTAATGCTTAATTCTCCAGAAGAAGAAATTTTGGCTAAAGCATGTGAAGCCATTTATAGATTTGCTTTAAAAGGTTTGGCTTTTTCAGTTTATTTTTCTATTTCATTAGTTTCCTAAAATATTTACTACATAATGGGCACTCTCCTTAGTCTTTAATTCACTTCTTGTCAGATGAATTCTTTCAGACAACCAGAATATCACTTAATGCATTACCTGAAAGTAATACATCTCCCTAAGTGCCTAACTTAATCTCAAGGAGTAATTTAGTCGCTGCATAGAAGAGTCATGTTGAAGGTTTGATTGTGGTCTAAAAGATCGTAAGTCACGGGAGCCGAAAGAGCTCCCAAGGGTCAAAGCTGGCACGATTTGAGCAGCAAAATAAAGTCGTATTGGATTATAACCCAAAGCATAAGTAAATGTTTATGAGCCTATACTGATAAAAATAAATAATTGAATAAGTAAATAATTGGGAGAGAAAAGACAAATCTCCCATGCAGAAGAATTCCAAGTAATTTATGTACTCTGCCCTCAAGGACGCAGAATATAACTTTTCACTCTTTAGGTATGAGCTTGGCATAGTGACTTCTTTCCAAAGGTTACAATATGGAAGCAGGGAAGAAAGAGTAAGTTGACAGTGGAGAAACTTAACAAACACTATCTCAGCCAGGTGATCAAAATCAGCATCAACAGTGATAAGTCATATTGATAACAGGTGATCTTGACACGATGTAATGAAAGTGGCCCTTCCGTTATTTGTTCCCCCAAAACTTATAACCCTCAAATCAGAACAGTTCCAAGTCAGGGACACTCTACAAATACCTAACCAGTACTCCTCAAAATGGTCACTGCCGTCAAAAACAAGAAAAGTCTGAGGAACTCTCATAGCCAAGAGCAGCTAAGGAAATGCGATGACTCAATGTCATAGGAGACCCAGGGTAGGATCCTGGAACCGAGAAGGAACATTAGACTAGAAGTAAGGAGATCTGAATAAACATAGACTTTAACTAATAGTAACGTATCCATATTAGTTCATTAATTGTGACAAATGTACCTACTAATGTAAAATGTTAATAATGGAAAAATGGGTATGGGATATGTGGTAACTCTATACTCTCCTCACCATTTTTCTGTAAAACTAAAACTGTCGTAAAAAACTAAAGTTTATTTAAACACTGTAAATGTTACAGGTTAGATTCTATTGCAAGGTTTATTCATAGAGGGTTTATAAACGCAAATGATAATTATATTTTAGTTCATTCCAAGTGGTGAGAAAATGAGACTTTTATTATACTGTGTAAGTTTTTTAAGTTTCTTTATTTTGGGAGGGGAGGGGCAATGTGCAAGCAAGGGGGAGGGGTAGAGAGAGAGGGGAGAGAGAATCCCAAGCAGGCTCCATTCTGTCAGCGCAGAACCCAACGTGGAGTTGGATCTCGTGAACCATGAGATCATGACCTGAGCCAAATCAGGAGTCAGATGCTTAACCGACTGAACTACCCAGTCTGGCATTGAGAATACTTGGAGAGTTTAGTGTAACTTTGTAATTAAAAACAAACAAACAAAAACTTTTAAACTAAGAAGGGAGCAATTTGATTTTTTTTTTGTAATTTTTTTCAACGTTTATTTATTTTTTTGGGGACAGAGAGAGACAGAGCATGAACGGGGGAGGGGCAGAGAGAGAGGGAGACACAGAATCGGAAACAGGCTCCAGGCTCCGAGCCATCAGCCCAGAGCCCGACGCGGGGCTCGAACTCACGGAGCGCGAGATCATGACCTGGCTGAAGTTGGACGCTTAACCGACTGCGCCACCCAGGCGCCCCGCAATTTGATTTTTAAGGAAATGATACTTTAAACATTATGTTTGGGACTTGTCGGAGAGAACAACAAATCATCCTGTTAGCAAATGGTGAAATATTCTCCTTGCTATCCCACTCTAGTCATCGTTGGGAGTCCAGATAAAAACCAGAATCATTGCTTCTGGCAGAAATGGTCCATGAGTCATTGCGTGGAATTCTGGGCTAGATTTCAGGGAGACTGGATCATGCAGTTACGGCAGCACGAGTCTCACTCAGCCACCGAGTCATCCAATACCATCTCCTTGCATATGACATGAGGTAAAGAAACGGGTAGATTATGTGAAATCAACACAGAAGATATTGTAAGTCTGGTGTTTTATACTAGAGCAGTATTTTCTATTTTTTAAAGATAAATGATGGGACTTTCCCCCCGGCCATGAAGGAGTAAGGGGTCAAATTTACTTTCCCAATTGAAACAAGTGAGAAAACAAAAACATACGAAATAGCAGTTGGCAAAACACTGAGTATTAGGCGATGAAGGACAGTGACCATTGAGAGACAGGAAATGAAGGAAATGAACTCTATGATTACATCAACTTATTGATTTCAGAGAATATCCAGACCGCATCACAGGAAGGGTTAACCTGTACAGAGTCTGGTAGACACGGAGTTGAGAAGACAGATCTGAAAGTTAAGGGAGACAAAGGAAGCAAGAGTTTTCAGGACGGTAACAGAGAGGAAAGAGTTGCATAGAAAGCGAACTGGAGATTGGTAAAGGGTCCAACTCAAGACTGATCAGGGTGTGTATGTATGGGAACTATTTGAAGTCGGACAAAGGACCTAACAGGATCAGTGCTCACACAGGGCCACAAATAGGGCCCGTTCCCATCAGCCAGACTGGAAAACTCAAGATTCATGGACGATTGTATGGAACATACACAAGGGTCTTACTTCAATAGTTAGAAATAATTAGTGCCAGATCGAGCTCTGTTCTAGTACTATCTAATTGTTTCCAGATAATTGTGTCCCAAAACAAATGTGAAGAATATAAAAATAACCACTTACCAACTAGGTAAAATTCACAGTGTCTGGCATCCAATAAAAAATTACCAGGCATGAAAAGAAGCAAGAAAATTCGACCCATAATGAGGATCTAAATCATCAGTAAATCAAAACTGATGCAACGTATGTGTAACCGGAGTCTTTGAAAAAAATGCGAGAGGGACAGAAAAAGAATTAGAATAAATAAGAGTTCCCAATTCCTCTAACTTAATGAAAACTCTAACCTTCTAGATCCAAGAAGCTCATAAAAGCCCAAGCACAATGAATATGAAGAAAATTATATACTAAGGTCTAACAAAACAAAATTGCTTAAAAAGAGTAATAAAGAGAAAATCTTAAAAGCAGTCAGAGGAAAAAACACATTACATTCAGAGAAACAAAAATAAGGATGACAATAGATTTATCATCCAAATTATGCAAGCAAGAAGTCAGTGGAGAAACATCTTTAACTAAAGCTGAAACTGAAAGAAAAAATAAAAACTTTAAACCTAGAATTCTATTCCCAGCAAAAATACCTTTCAAAAACATAAGTGAAGTAAAGTCTTTTTCAGACATTCAAGAGCCAAAGTAGTTTATTGCAACCAGAACCGTACTACTAATTATGGTAAAGTAGGTCCTTCAGGAAGATGACACCAGATGGAAATGTGGATCTACACAATACAATAACAATAAAGGTAGAACACTAGAAATTTAGCATATAAAGTTTTTCCTTATTATTTAAGTCACTTAAAAATCAAATTGGTTATTGAAAAAAAAAATTTAATGAAACATTTAATAAAATGTTTATTTTAATTTTGAGAGAGAGAAAGACAGTGAGAGAGAGAGTGAGAGAGAGAGCGAGAGAGAAACAGAGCAGGAATAGGGGAGGGGCAGAGAGAGAGAGAGAGAGAAGGAAATACAGAATCCAAAGCAGTGGATACTGTGGATACTGTGCGGCATGAAACATTTGTATAAATAAAGTATATGGCAACAACAGAACCAAGGTAGAAAAGGGAAAAATGGAAGCATACTATTATAAGGTTCCTCTACTGTCTGTCAAGTGGGATATCACCACTTGAAAGTAGACTGTGATAAGGATGTATAATACAGACCCCAATACAACACTAAAATAACAAAACAAAGGGTAATATCAAATAAGCCAACAAAGGAAACGAAACGGAATCATAAAAATAATCTTCAGTTCATAAAAAGAAGGCAGAAATGAAGAAGAGTATAACAAAGAATGAGACACAAAAAACAAATAGATGGTAGACTTAAACCTTAAACAGATGACCAAACGAAATGTGAATGAGCACCTCAGTCACCAGTGTGAGAGTGTCACATTGGATAAAAAGCAAGATCAGACTACATGCCGCCTTCAAGAAATGCACTTAGAATATAATGACACAGATAACGATAGTAAAAGGATGAAAAAAAAAGGTATCTGGGATGTGAGGGTGATCTGGCTGTGACATCTGTCACCCCATTGATCGCCACGGTTGAATCGGTTGAATCGGCTGATCTGGCTGGCTAGGCGGGTGTCCCCTTCCTGCCTCACCGCTCCACGTGCGTCCCCTCCTGAAGCTGTGAGTTCTGTCGACGAGGACGACCTTCCCCTATAGAAGAGGACCGTTCTTTGGTCAAGGGTATATGAGTAGCTGTGTTCCCCTCCTGGAACCTGTAAACAGGCTCTCAGGGTCCATTTGTAGGAGAACGTAGTGTAGTCAAGTTTCCATGACTCCAGACACATCCAAATGTGACACTGCACGTGGCAGTCGGCCTTTCTTAAAAAAAAAAAAAAAAAAAAAAAGATATCCTATGTTAGCACTAATCAAAAGAAAGCTGGAATGGCTGTATTAATTATCAGAAAAATAAACAGCAAAAAGAAGAGTATCAGATAAAAAACCTCATTTTATAATAATAAGGAAAGAGTCAATTAATCAAGAAGCTATGAAAAAAACCTGAGCAGTTATGTCGTTAATGTCATACCTTCTAAATACGTGAAGTTAGAAATGCAGGGAGAAATAAACATCCACAAGTATAGCTGAGGATTTTGATAACCTCTTAATAAATGAAAGAACAAGTGGATAAAAAATCTGTAAGGATATAAAAGATTTGAAGAGCAATACAAATGAATTTAGCCTAATGGATATTTATAGAATACTCCAAGCAGAATGTACATTCTTTTCAAATGCACAGAGGACGTTTATGAGAGTAGGCAATATTCTGAGCCATAATA